GGGTTCAGGCTCAGCATCGGGATTCAGACCTTTAGCGAGGGATTATTTGGGACTGTATCGAAGAGTTGGTGTTCCCCTTCGTCTAGTCCCCCTCTTCTTCGTCTGTGCATGATCGGGGACTGACGCATTCTTCCTGTGTGAGTGTCAGGACCCTTCACACCATGGCATGATGACGATGCATGTTTGGTCTGCATGGCAGCTTGATTGAGCTGATCATTGGTATTTAAGCCTTCCGTTGTGCTATCTGGTATCTTGTGAGAAAGGTAGGTTCTTGGTCTGGTGTGTACCGTTAGGGTATGCAACAGTTTGGTATAGGAGCGGACCTTTTTCATCAAGATCCGCCCAATCAAGTAGTCAGCTTGCTTGATCTACTGATTGACGATCGATTGATTGATTGATTAGTAAATCAAGTAGGTTTTCGTCAAAATCTCTGCAAATCTTTTTCTTTTTTTCTCTTTCTTCTTTTTTTCACAACTTCGGATATTAGCATTTCGTCTTATCTGAAAATTTCTGATATTTGCATTTCGTTTTCACGCCACAAATATCCGAAAATTTCTGATAAATTGTGATAATAACATTTCGTTTTATCTGAGAAGTTCCGATATTTGCACTTCGTTTTTTTTACGTAACAAATATCCGAAAGTTTCTGATAGTAGCATGTCGTTTTTCTGACGTTAGCATCTCGTTTTCTAGGCATATTAGGGTTACGACGAAGGTTGTCATATTCGGGGAAACGGAATTTATCCTTTTCTGAAAATCGAATCTCCATACTACTTCGCAAAAAGTTGGCCTCTGAAAGCCGAAATTTTGCGAAGCCTATCAGCATTTCGTGCTAGACACAATAGGAGGTTGTCATATTCTCGGAAACGGATCCTTTTGCTGAAAATCGAACCTTTATCCTACCTTGCCGAGATCTCACTCATAGCATTGTCCGTAAAATGCCTCACTGATAACAGATCGACAGGTATACAGAAAAAAAAAAAAAAAAGAAAGGGGTGATCCGCTTCTTTTATTTTTTTATTTTTTTGATTCTGTTGATTAGGATCGGCATGGAAATTGCAGTTTGGTGGTTTGCCTGCGTTTCCCTCCCACCCAGTTCCCTGTCTGTTTTCTCGCCTTGGTAAGTGCCACATCAATTACAGTGCCACGTCAGTTGCAGGACACGTCAGTAGCAGTGCCACGTCAGTTGCAGGACACGTCAGTAGCAGTGCCACGTCAGCAGTGCCACGACAAACGGTGCCACGCCAGCAGTACCCCATCAGTAGCAGTGCCACGTCAGCAGTGCCACGACAACAGTGCCACGTCAGCAGTACCGCGTCAGCAGTACCGCGTCAGCAGTACCACGTCATTGACACCGTACAGCTAACTGCAGCTTATGCTCCGACGCAGCAACCGAATTGCAGCACGCGAAGGGCGGGCAGCCGCAGCAGAACAGCAGCTACCTCTGCCCCACCCCTCTGAAATGGACACTCAGGGCAACCCCATGGTGGACAATGCCGCATCCGGCAGTCCACACGAGGCGTGCAGTTCGAACCCCCCGGTCCCACAGGCCCAACAGGAGGGTTCCACTGCGACTTCTGCGGGAACCCTCGACGCTGCACCAGTCCGGCAGCAAGGAGAGACCATGAAGGCCTTCCTGGCCCGCCTGGGCACCTATATGCAGCAAGTCCAAGAGGAGCAGCAATGCGAGGCGGCAGCCGAAGCAGCACGCCTTAATAACATTGCACGCGCAGAAGAGCAACGACGCCGGCAGCAAGCTGACGCAGCTACCAACCACAACAAAGCTCGAAGAGATGCCGCATCTGTCCTCATGCAGCAAGAAGCCGCTCATACCGCCGCACTCCAAGCATGGAATGTTGATCCGGCGGCGACGACGGAACCAACTACGGAGGAACAGACCAAGTCAGCCCTCGCTAACATGATGTACCAAGTCATCCTCACTTGTAATTGGCAACAAGTGGAGCTGGCTCGGCAGGCACATACCATTGCTGAGTATGAGGAGACTCTCAAGAGCCTCCATGCCCGCCTTGACATGCTGGGGAAGGATGACGTGCCGCACAGGCAAACGGCATCGTCAAGCATTGATCCATCGATCCACGAGCTGGAAGGACGACTGGATCACCTAGTCGAACAGTTTCCGACACCCGACGACCATCAGCCAGCAAATAGCCGCCCTACAAGCGGACCTGCGTCAACTGCAGCAGCAACCAACTGGACCTGCAACAAACTGACGCCGAAACAATTTAAGATGCCGAAGTTCAGCATCGACAAGTTTGACGACTACCACAAGGCGGACCCCATCAGTTGGTGGCAAGGGTTCACCAATGAGCTCTCCATCCACTTGGTCCTGCCCGAGTCAAAGATCTCAACACTTTACCTTTGCAACACCGGTGCCAGCAAAGTGTGACTCAACCACCTGGCTCAAACCGAAGGCGTCAAAGTCTCGAAGCTTTATGCCAAGATCACTTGGGAGGCCATGACTGAGAAGTGGCGGAAACGCTTCATCGTCGACGACGCTCAGGGCAAAGGCGTGAACCGGATCTTCAGGATGCATCAAGGCAGCCAGCCAACACGCGAATGGCTAACCGAGTGGCAGAAAATCGTGACGATTCTGAATTTGGACATCCCATTCGTACATCTTCGTCGCGAATTCTTCCAGCGGTCAGTTGACGCGTTGAGCACGGCCCTTGGGGAAAGCAACCTGTACATGGACTTCGACCAGATCGTGGAGAAGGCGTGCGAAGTCATCCAAACCAATCGGTGGACAGCCAACGAGCGGCGAAGCCCACCGAATTTTGTGGAAAAGGGCAAAGGCCCGCGGCCGCAGCAAGTTGCTGCTGTCCAAGGAAATGGACAAGAGAACGACCAGGCGGTGACTCACGAGTCTAGTGAAGGAGACGGAGTCAACGCCCTTTCGCTATGACGCAACAACAACAACAAGAAGAAGGCGAAATCTGCGTCAACAACGGAAGTCGGGCAGCCGAATGAGCCATGGAAGAAGTTCAGCCTCACGGAGGAGCAATACAAACTCCGCCAGAGGTGGAACTGTTGCTACTGGTGCAACAGCACCAAGCATACGACGTCGCAATGCCCTGACAAAGGCAAAGAAGGCGTCCGTCCACGGCAAAGCTCGGGAAACTGAGCTTCGCGGGAAGTGAGGCGACTCCAGTTCTTACTCCGCCGGACACGGTTGCCTTGCTAACAACCTCCTCCACATCCGGGGAACATGCGTATGACGCCTGTCTTCGTGAAGATTATGAAGACTATGCTGTCCAGCTGGTCCCGCCGTTGGACCAACCTCTCCACGTGCAAGAGTCTTATGCGTGCGCGACTTCATCACCATCGCCAAGTGAACCAGCATCCTCGCCAACATCACTCGGGGACTTGTCGGTGTGGTCTAGACTTGAGGAACTCGACGCATTGACACCGGAGGACTTCCAATTGTTGCCTCTTTCCCCATCTTGTTCCTTGCTGAAGCCGCATTGCAACGCCCTAATGGCGGAGCTACGCAACTACTTGCACGCTGCAGTACCAGCTCCGTTGATGGAAGACGGAGTAGCGGTTGTTGACCTTCGCGAGTACATTGTGAAGATTGACCGCAAGTACACCACGCAACGGTACGACGACACCGACGTACCGTTACTCTACGTCCGCATTCGGATCGGGAAGGTGACCTGCAGCGCCTTGATTGATTGTGGAGCTACTCGCAACTACATCAGCCAGGATTTCATGACCCGCGCCGGCCTTGGGCCGCCCGTTCGAAGGAAATCGCAGCCCACGCAAGTCATGTTGGCCGACGGTCGTACGCACAAGTCCATTGACCGGTGCATTGACTCTGTCCCCGTGTACTTCGCCCCGCTTGCACGCGAGGCCGTGTCCTTTGACATATTGGACACAAAGTTCGACATGATCTTGGGCATGTCATGGCTGCGCAGCGAGGACCACCCGGTGAACTTCTACCGCCGCACCGTTCACATTTGTGACCGGAACGGGGTACTTGTGCCATGTACCGTCCCCCCACCTCATCCTTCGATTGGTTGTCACGTGGTCTCCACGGCAAGCATTCGCAACTCCATCGCACGGAACGACGTGGAGGAAATGGGCATTTGTTGCTTGCACGCCCTCCCTCCTCTCGACGAGCCAGCGGAGGAACAGCCACCGGATCCACGCATTGTACAACTTATTGACTCCTATGGCAACGTCTTTGAAGCCCCCGCCGGAATCGTACCAAATCGGCCAATTCGTCATGAGATCATCCTCGAAGACGGGGCCGTACCTCCGCGCGGATGTATTTACCGCATGATCGAGGAGGAACTCGAAGTGCTTCGAACGCAACTCGACGACCTCATTGATAAGGGCTGGATTTGCCCTAGCTGCTAGCCTTACGGTGCACCTGTTCTCTTCGTTCGGAAGAAGAACAAGGAGCTACGCTTATGCATTGACTATTGCAAGCTTAATGCTCAAACCATTAAGAATGTTGGCCCGCTCCCACGCATCGACGATCTTCTCGAACGCTTGGGCGGCGCCAAGTATTTCTCCAAGTTGGACCTCAAGGCCGGTTACCACCAGCTCGAGATCCATCCAAGAGATCGATATAAAACCGCATTCAAGACACAGTACGGGCACTTCGAGTGGGTCGTAATGCCATTCGGCCTCACGAATGCCCCAGCCACCTTCCAAGCGGCAATGACAACGGAGTTTCACGGCATGTTGGACCGGTTCGTGCTCATCTACCTCGATGACATCTTGGTGTATAGCTGAACTTTGGACGAGCACATCGTGCATCTACGTGCTGTTTTGGACAGGCTTCGTACGGCCAAGTACAAGGCCAACCAAGCCAAGTGCGAATTTGCACAACAAGAGCTCAAGTACTTGGGCCACTTTGTGACGTTGCAAGGCATCCGTCAGCTTGCGGACAAGATCAAGGCCATTCAGGATTGGCCGGAACCGACCAACACCACAGAGGTTCGCTCTTTCATGGGATTGGTCGGGTACTACCAACGCTTCATCGGAGGATACGCACGGATCGCCGCATCTTTGTCCATATTGCAGTCTCCACAGGTGCCCTTCCAGTTCACCGATGAAGTCCGCAGTTCGTTCCACAAATTGAAGACAACGTTGCTCCTCGCCCCCGTCTTGAGTATCTACGATCCCACCTTGCCTACGAGAGTGACTACGGACGCTTCCGGCTACGGCATGGGTGCAGTTTTGGAACAACACGATGGAGTAGACTGGCATCCAGTTGAGTACTTTAGCCAAAAGGTGCCTCCCATCAACACGATTGATGATGCGCGGAAGAAGGAGTTGTTCGTCACAATGCTCAAGCGTTGGCGACACTTCCTCCTCGGGCGGCGTAGGTTCACTTGGGTGACGGATAATAACCCATTGACCTACTGCAAGACCCAAGACACGGTGAGCAGCACGATTGCCCGATGGATGTACTTCATCGATCAGTTCGACTTCACACCGAAACATATCCCGGGCCTCTCCAACCGAGCCGCGGATGCTCTCTCGCGAAGATCAGATCTTTGCGCAGTGACTCACCACGCGTTCAGTTTCGACGAAACCCTTCATCAGCATTTTGTGCGAGCATACAAGTCCGATCCTGAATACGCCACGCTCTACAAGCAACTATCCTTGGATCACCCGCCGGCCAGCCACTATCACGTCGTCGATGGCTACTTGCTTCTTCACTCACGCGGCAAGGACTTACTATGCGTCCCACATGACCGTCGCCTACGGACTCGCCTCCTCGGAGAGTACCACGACTCGAGACTCGCTGGCCACCTCGGCATCAACCGTACGATCGCAAGACTTCGGCAACGATTCCGGTGGCCTGACCTCATTACCGACGTCACTCGGTATTGCGACTCTTGCGAAGTTTGCCGACGAAGCAAACCCCGCAATCGCAACCCCTACGGTGAGTTACGCCCGTTGCCTATTCCACAGGAACCCGGCCTCTCCATTGCCATGGACGTCACTGGCCCGTTCCCCGGGGACCGCTTCGGGCACGACGACATTCTCACGGTCGTTGACCGTTTGAGCAAGTACGCATGATTTCTTCCTTGCAAGTACTACGCCACGGCTCCGGAACTTGCACACCTCTTACACACCGGCTGGATTTGCGGCCACGACGTTCCGGAAGACATCGTTAGCGACCGCGACACTCGTTTCATGTCGGGATTTTGGACCTCTCTCGTGAAAGAGTCTGACACCGAGATGAAACCAAGTTCGGTTCGGCATCCTCAAACAGACGGGCAGACGGAGCGGGCACATCAAACCGCTCAAGTAATGCTTAGCACACTCATCCGTATGGATCAGAAGGATTGGGTGGACTGCCTCCCCGACATTGAATTCGCCTACAACACTTCGGTGCACCCGGCGATCGGCGTGACTCCGTTCGAGTTACACCACAGTGGCCGGAAAGGCCGCATCTTCGCTGATCTTCCTTTTCCAAGGACTGCCGACATTGACGCCGCTTGTTCGCCCGCCTCCGTTCGGAAGTATAGGGACTTGATGGCTAAAGCCCGCACCAACATGCAAAAGGCTCAAGTTCGCATGCAACAACAAGCTAACAGGCGTCACGTGCCATGCCCCATCCGCGCGGGCGACCTTGTTTGGGTCTCCACGGAAGAGTTTGCACTCGAGCAAGATGTATCCCGCAAGCTACTTCCAAAGTGGTTTGGACCATGGCCCGTCACATCAGCCGCGGGTGATGAGCCCGATCGCCCCTCATTTGTGATCAAAATCCCGCCGCATCTCATGGTGCACCCGGTTTTCCACGCCTCCAAGCTGGCCACATATACGCCAGTAAAGAGCGACGACTTCCCGGGACGACGATCACAGGACCCTCCTTCCATGGATGGTCATCAGGAAGTCGACCGCGTCATCACGCATCGCAAGCACGGCAACAAACCTATGCAGTACAAAGTCACATTCAAGTGGTGCGACCCCGATGACACGCGATGGATCTCCCGGGCAGCTTTGCGAGCCTCCGCTTCTGACATCTATGCTCATTATGAGAAGAAACAGCTAGCGACGGAAGCTGCACAGCCTCCCACCCGGACTTCAGTCCCTCCCTCCACCAGACAGCTTCGCCCTCGCAGGTAAGCTCGGTCTTTCAAGAAGAGGGGAGTGTGGCATACTCCATACCACACGGGCCCAGCAGAGCCCGACCTGGTAGACTAAGGGTCCGTAGGAGTAGAGCCTGTTTCGTTTCAGCCTAAAAGCCTGAAACGAGGGCCTACAGGCCCTGTGTCGTTTCGGCCTCCAGCCTCAAACGACGGGCCATTTTCAGGCCCTCGCAAGATCGACCTACCCTGAAACTCAGGCACATGACCGGGGTTTTAGCTCAGGCCATTATGGCCTATTTTGTGGAGCGTCAACCCTAGGGTCTGGCACGTTTTGGCATAGGTACGAGCAGCCTCCCGGATGGGCCAGCACTATATAAGGCTGACCCGCCCTGTAGGCTGCAGGCAGTTCCCAGGCACTTCACGTGCAGAGGGCAGTAGGTAGTCTTCAGGACTTGGCAGCGACACTCTGGAGGAGTAGTAGCGATAGCCGTAGTCTTCAGCGCTGGGCGCTAGTAGAGAGAGAGAGAGAGATGGTTGGCGGAGGCCAGGGAGACTCACCTGCGGCGCCATAGCTCCAGCTTCGTCTTCGATGTACCTGCAGCAAGGCGCCACCTTTACAGGTTAGTATCGGAGAGAGAGAGAGAGAGAGAGAGAGAGAGAGAGAGAGAGAGAGAGAG